CAACCTGAAATTAAAAATTTCCATTTTTGCTGGGGTGCACTCATTGAAAATCAATGTGATTACATTTTTGAGAAAATAATATTTAAATAAATTTAACTTACATTTACGTTTATATCCTTTCTGATCAAACATAATTACTTACTGAACACCCTAATACATACTAGTAGGATTATGCTCAGATGATATGGTAGAGGTACTTTTTAATATTGAATACCCTTTTTTGGCCATCAATATCATCCTAACTGTCAATTGTTTCATAGAATATTTTGCTATCAACAATACATGCACTTGTTGTACCCAGTCATCATTAAGACAAAATTAATGTATTTCCCATCACTCTGCTCACACACATACTTCAAATTGGTCATAGAAATCAAGAATGGCATCGGAAATTTGGAAATTCACAAATTCAAGTCTGGTTGCCAAGGTATTGACATTCATTAATAAACCAATGAAAAATCATGAATCTAATTTCAAAGCATGCATTAAAGATTCAATAGCATTTTTCCCTCTATGGCCAATTGGTATTATTAAATTCAGCTGTAAACAAACATTTCTTTGACTATCCTGATTTGTCCTGCCATCTTAGAAGGATTACATTAATTTTAATTATGAATTTCCTTTGAGGGCAAATGTGTGGTCAAAATATTGTTTGTATTGGGATTCAATGAACCTAACATCTTGATGTGATATTAACCATAGTTCAAAATTTTATTTTATTTAACTGATATTGTGTACAACACCATAATAATGATCATCAGTTTCACAATTAATATTATAATGAGTTTGGTCCTCACTGATTGCCTGGGCTCTTGTACACTTGGGCAATACTAAATTAAACTTAATAAATAATATTTACTACACTACCATAATACACATTTACAATCTAGTCTCATATAGACTGTTAATAATTTAGTATGTTTCATTCTCACGAGGCGACTCCTATTTGTATTTTTCTGTCTTCAGACTAAGACAAACTTGATCAATACCACTGGGTACCCTACCATGGAGCAATAATTAGTAGGCTAATCTCATAGGCCTTGACTACTCCAGTGTTCTTGATTCTCATTGGATATCTTCTAAAATAAAGGGTGTTTCATTAAGAGGGATTATATATAAGGGTGCTTCATTAAGATGGATCAAAGTCAGCAGTAAATAAATCAGTGTTATTGGTGAAAATTTATTTATTTCTCTATTGGACCATGTTATTTAAGTCATGGAAATTATGTATGAGAAATAATATCGCCCAAATGTCCACCAAATCTAAAAGAAAAAAGTCATTAAATGCTTAAACTTAGTTCACATTTAAAATCGGTCTAAGTTATTGAAACACCCTTTACCTACCAAATTTAGTAAATACCACTGTATACCCTGCTATAGATCAATGATCGCAGTCTAGTCTTATAGACTATTAATATTATAGTAAATGTAACCTGTGTCTAACTAGGTTAAATTTAGTAAATGCCACTATGTATCCTGCCATTGATCAATGATTAATAATACAATCTCATAGATCATTACTATTGTAGTGTTGTTGTTTCTCATGAGGTACCTGCTATGCTAAATATTTTAAATATCTACATTGCATCTATAATAGGAATGAGGAGTAATCATATCATCCGGATTGATTAAATATGCTTTCTAAATGATAGATATAACTTTGGTTTCTTGTCTCTGTTGCTCTAAAATAAGCAAGTCCAGTACAATGTAATACTCTTCTCAATATGATGGGCTGAAAGACTTGCTAAAAAGCATGCACTGGCTATAATACCAAACTCAGAAACATGATGGATGTATTTACCAAAGTATCAAGTGACTTCACCTGCCTGTAAAGTAAAGATTTTTTTTCTCTCCCATCTGTATCCAGCATGACAAGTGGTCACCCACACTCCAGTCCACAGTATTCGGAAGTTATTTGGTCAGTCTTTCAATTAGAGTGTTTTCTTTTAGGCTCTGTGCTATCATTTGATGGTGGCAACATTTCTCTTCACCCTTCTCATGATTCCATCCCACCCCTCCAGTCTCATCTGTTTTCATTCCTTAAAAACCTAGAAAAACTGTCATGTGGCCATGTCTCTCGTCTTTCTGTCATTCCAAACCCAACCCACTAAACCTCGCCACAACTTTGAAGCACAGTTGTTCTGTAATCGAAGTCCAGACCTCTTTGGCGATCACAGACAGAGATTCCAGCGAGGGGCCCCAGGCGTTTTTTCTCTGATATACAGTCAGGCAATAAATATACGTGTTTTTGATATTTATAGTCATGCTATCTTGCTTGTCAGTAGAGAACCACCACATACACACTCACACGTGGCTCAGAGATGATGCGTGCAGACATGTATTCATTATGGCGCATATATATATATTGGATAGAGTAAGGATATCCTGTGATAAATCACTGACCACTGTGTCAGTGTGCGCTTTGTCCAGTCATCCACGGATGGCATTACAGGCAGCCTTGTGTGGCTACTTCCTGCTATATACAACATCAGAACTAGGCTTCCTGTTGGCCATGAAGAGCTTACGAGATCAGTATTAATCATAGTCTATAGACTACACACGAAGTCAATCACGTCACTGCTGCAAAGTAACTTAGACAGCAGGGATTAAAAGTTTGTTAGTTTTTACTTAACATTTTATTATTTTGTGTGTTCTTATATAAATTTATTGTTTTAAAGAGAAGACGTTTTCTCCAAATTGACAGCTGCAATTATCTGCATATAACATAAATATATATATATCGACTGCTGAGTAAAGTTGGATGAAAATTTGACAAAATGGTAAATATATAAGACAATTTTAAAAAAATTCTGTGATGGGTGAAGAGAAATTCTGTGTTTCAACATCATCAGAAAAAATAATTTTTTTTTTCACAAGAACAATTAGCAAGTTAAACTTTGATTCATATTAACTTTTTCAGTTTTTGTTTTTTATTTTTTTTACCTGTTTCATTATAAAAATTAAATTTTAATCAATTTCTACTCAGTTTTTTGTCTTTTAAAAGTGTTCTTTCTTGTTTCACTGAGAAAAGTGGTTTAGATTGTAGGGGAGTTATAGTTATAAACCACCTTATATATACAGAAATATTCATAAAAATAAAAAACAGCAAGACACGGAAACAAGAAAATGAGTATTATTTATCATCTGGTTGTTAAGCAGTGTTGGAGACATGAGAATACTGAGTAAAATTATGAGTTTGGGGTCAAATATAGATCAAATATGGATTGAAATCCGAGAGAAAAATAACAAAAAAGTAATGTGTATATACACTCTTTCTGTTATGCTTTTTATAGATGTGTGTGATGAGTGTTCAGATAATTTAGTTTGAAAATGCAAGAAGTGTCTGGGGTTTTCTTACCTCAAAATTTTGTTGAGTAGTAAAAGATAAATGTTACTATTATGGCCTGAAAAAAGAAAAAGAAATTAAATTTTTGTTGATGCACGTGTTAACGACCTGTCCTTGCGAACTGCTTGTTCGATAGTGGGAATGTCACGTATTTGTGCATAATAGAGAGGAGAAGTGGGGTTGATTCCCATTGGCTTAGAATGAGTAAATTAATGATAATTATAGTTGTTATAATTATTTTATTATAATTATTTGTGATCTTATAATTAATTTTGATTTATTTTTTATGAACACAATACCGTGACATAATTAATTTTTTATTTATATATTTTTTTATGGACACAGCAAGAATGAAATAGCCTGGTCATATATTAATTGTAGGGAACTCGTATAATATTATGGCACTGAGTAAATTATCTCTATTTTTAATTAAAATGATCTTGTTTAATTTTAAGCCCCTTTTCTAGTCATATAGTCTCTTTTTTCAAATCTCGGGACCATGACGTTCTGTATTTCTACATTAAATAAAGAGTGCCATGCTCAGGACACAAATGCTCCGAAAACTGATTATGGTTTGACCAGGAAAATACTGTTTGAAATAAGAATGAAGTAATATTTTGTTCTTAGGATCAATACAAAAAAAAGGAAACACATGTGACTATCCTACATATTTAGTGTAATGACTAATGAGTTAGTCTCCTAAACAATTTATTACAGAGTAATGAGCCCTTCAATGCAGTTTCGTCTGAACAAATTACATTTACTAAAATGTAATTACTTTATTTAATATATTTTAGTAGGGGTATGCTCAGGCTATATGGTAAAGGCACTTTTATTAATCTTGAATAAATAGTTTGGGCCATCCTGATTATCCTAATTCTCAGATGGTTCAATGTATTTACTACCATCAATAATATATGCATTTGGTCTTATTCTTCTTCTTGCCAGGTCCTTTCATGGTGTAGGCGTTCATGGTTCTCCATAACTTCCTGTCCTTTGTAGCTCTTAGTAAGATTTATATTTTTACCTTACCCCACCCCCTGTTATGCCATCCATTTACACAAACTTGTTAGGTAAGGCTACTCGTTGTTACCCTTTTTCCCTCAATATGTCCAGGGAGTGTCAAATTCTCCAAGCTGTTTTCAAATAATTTTATTTACTAAATATAATTTGCTCAGATGATGTTGCATTGAAAATACTCACTATTCAATAATAAATGGTTAGTGAGACTAGCTCCTTAACCATTACACTACATATCTATGATAATTTCATATGTTACTTTATATTCGTCTTAAGAACAAAAATATTACTTTATTATAATTTTTTGATGAGTTTCTCATGTATATATTATTTGTTTTATTAAATGAAGCCTTGACAACCATTTCTGTTATTTTTTTTTATTGTTGGTTGATTTTTTGTTTAGCCACATAACAACCTATGGGTTATTTAGTGCAAACCATTTTTTTTAGATAATAATGATTTAGTGATACATCTTATTAATTAACCTATAGCTGGGGAGAGAAGAAGTGGATTCATACCTTTCCCAAGGATATTTGCATGTAAGTGAATATAACAACCCCCAATAGGAGCTAGAACTCACCTCTCCAATTAAAAATCCCAAGCCATTATTCATTGCACCACTTACACTTTCAAGCTTACAGCACCTGGTATTCTCAAGTGGTCACCAATCTAGATAATGACCAGGCTCAATGTTGCTTAACTTCAGTGATCATACAGGAACCAATGTTTCAACATAATGTGGCCATAATCCTATTGGAACGAAAAGACAACGTCTATACTATTCATATATGCTGAAGAAAGTCTAAATAAGGTTTCTCTGCTGCATGTCTTTTCATTACACCTATGAATCTTTTATCAGTATTTACTTGCATCTTAATTTCCAGTTGCTCTTTATTGCAATTTTATTTAAAGCATCAGTTTTAGAGCAGTAAGTAGATAGCTCCGATTAAAAATGAACATCATGCTCTCTGAGATTTTTCCCGTTGCTCCAGGGAGTCTGGTAAATACACATTGGTTTTAAACACTGAACTATTTCCTCCAATTCACCACCTGTCTGCTTATTTTGTACAGACCGTTCATTATTTTCCAAATAATTTTCTCTGTGGCATGATTATTTCCTTCCATGCCACATCAGAAAACATGCACACTCATTTTTATTTGAACCAGCATGCTTAATTTTTTTTTTTTTAAGCATTACGCCCCGAGCAAGGCGTGAAGTCACTAAGATACAGGGGGGTTGCAGAACATTTGGAGCGAGAGCAAATAGGAGTGATAGAAGAAAGGATGAGGAGAAGGATAGTGGGTAGATCAAGGTAACTGGAGGTGTCGATTGACATTACATTTGAATAGTTGGAGATTATAGCTTTCAGGGAAACAGTAATTGGGAAGGGTGTTCCACAGGTGAGTTAATTTATAAGTTTTAAAATTTCTCACTGGCAAGACTATTCCAGATGTCACTTGCATTCGATACAAGAGAGTAAGTGGCAAAAATTTAATAATGGCTATGCAGAAGAGCAACTCTCACCCTTTTACACTTATCATTTTATTCTACACTCTTTGTCATTGCCATATTTGTTTATTGTTTTTGCACAATTAATGTTAATGCAGAGGAAGGTAATAAAATTAATTGCACTAACAAGCTTTTTTCCCTGGTGCACTGACTCCATGAATTTAAGCATGTTACTAGACTGGCATCTAAAATGCAACTGCCACTTCCACTCCAACAATTTATTTTTTTGCACTTCCCACCTGTGGAACTCCTTTACATTTACATGCTTTCCCAATAATTACAATCTTCAGAAATTTAAATGCAATGTCAATCGCTATCTCCTATCTTAACTTTCATCATTTGTGCTTTCCCCAGTTCTCTCTATACTCGGTCTTTTCCCTCACTTTCACTCCCTGTAACCCCCCTGCACACTAGTGGCATTCCCACCTTGCTTGAAGTGAAATGATTAAAAAAAAAAAAGTGTGTGGGTTACTTACTTGCAAATTGAGGTCCACCTTAAATTTTCTTTCTCCTCCAACCAACTATTACAAAGCCAAAAAGTGATAAAGAATCAATGACGGAAGAAGGTTTGGGTGAAACTGGAATCTTCTAGTCCTGAACATGCACATTAGCAGTGAATTTAGTCATCAATGCCATCATCATAAAGTAAGTGATCAGAAAAGAAGAAATTCAATTCTTGGATATGTGATAATGCTGACATCAATTAATAGCAGGTGCATTATTATTTTTTTAATTCTCATAGATTAGTGGTTAAAGCAGTTGGGTGCTTATCAAGATACCCTGAAGCAAAAAGGACATGGATTTAAATATCATTGAAACCTTATCCTTTATTTTTTATCTTGTACTAAAAACAGTCATAAATTGATGGCTTGTGTAAAATTACAAGGAAAAGAAAGCAACATAGTGAAGATGAAAGTAAAAACTATTTACAAAAAATCATTCTGTGAACAACAAATTAACTAATAGGTGTTTGTATATATATATATATATATATATATATATATATATATATATATATAGTTAGTTCAACAGTAAAATGGTGAGGCCTAGTTGCCAATATAGTTGTACATTTAAATTTGTGCATTTGCTGCACCAAGAAGGAAAGATCATCAGAAAAATTGCCATGAAATTATTTTTAAACAGAGGAAAGACATGTTACAATGCCAGGTCAAAACCAATTACATTACAGACCCTTCTTTGGAATCTGTCAAGAATCTCAAGATATATAGCAGGGGCACTAGACCAGATATAGCAATAATATTCAATGTATGGATGAATAGTAGAATTATTAATATACAAGATAAATTCTGATGAGAGAATATGTCTGGCATGACACAGTGCACCAACTTTCCAAGCAGTAGACCTATCAACTGATTCAATATAATCAGTCCACTTCATTTCAGTGGAAAACGTGAAACGAAGAATGTGCAAAGAACTGCTCTCCTGGAGGTTAGCATCAGTCATGCTGATGGAAGGCAGAAAAGGTTCTCTATGGCAATTAACTGATAGCAGTTTTGGTTTGGAGGCATGAAAATTTACAATCATTCCTTGCTCCAGTTAATCATTAACTGGGGGTTATTCTCAAGAACAGGTACCAGTTTTACTTTGTAGGACTTGTTAGTAAGGAAGAGATAGTTGTGTCATCATTATAAATATGTAGTTGAGAACTGAAGGGTATTGATTTATGCTTTCTTTGCACTATTCAGTACTTTGTATTATTATTTTTTACATTTGTCGTATTTTAGGGTGTAAAAGATTTCCTCCCTTCATATGCCTGCTGGAATATAAAAAGCATTATTATATATATATATATATATATATATATATATATTATCCTTGTTTGGTGTTTACAATTGTGTTTCCAGTTACTTCTAAAGTCTATTATAACTGAAATTTTATTTACTATTTATTTTACTTTATTTCCTCAATAGGAGTAGATAGGTTTGTCTATCAAATGGTTCACACCTACCCAGTCTTTGAAAAAGAGTAGAGGTTTATTCCTTGTTTCTTGTGCTTTCAGTTTCTTCTAAAATCCTTTTCATTATCTTTTACTTTCAGTAGCCCCTTGCATCCTAGTGACATCATCACCTGGCTTGAGATGAATTGATATGCACCCAAATGTTCAATCTTCAATACCTAGCACCCTTACCACATTAATATAGCAAATTTTAATCATTATATATATATATATATATTATCCTCCTTAGGTTTACCCATATGGATTACCTAGTTTTTCTTAAACTATATATATATATATATATACTGAATTTTTCATAGCAAACTATTATGTGCCAAGAACATCACCATTATTAGATGTGCAACCCAAAAGTTTCAGGATATTGAATAAATTGGTCATCTTTTATTTTATGGCTTCTAAAAAATACAATATTTATATTTAACGGTGGATAGGGAGAGAACAAGGGTTGCATATTAGAAGATATGTAGGATGGATAATGGTTGACATTTGACTTGAAGATTTTAAGATTGTAGTGATCAGGGAATCATCCCACAGGAGCCCACTGCATATTGCAACAGTTCTGATAAAGAAGCTGCCTGAGTGGATCTTACTCCTTACCAATGGAATATGAAGGAAATGAAGATGAATCAACTCAGTGTACATAACATGTTAAGATCTGAACTTGTGAATTCAAGTAATGTGATTTGCCTGAACATTTGCCATGAAAACAGTGGTAGAGCAGCGAGAGTTTAACAACTTTTGATCTCTAGGAAATTGAGTGTTGGGAGGAAATCAGTTCATCACTCACAAGGCTGCACACCAGATATCTAAACTCCACATAATATCTTGTAGTTTTATCCATTTTTTTGTGTGTGCTGGGGGAAATGTGGGTCTTATATGTCATAACACACCATGCCACTTACATAGAAGCAAACGACCCACATTCCCTCCATATTCCATCGGTAAGAAGTAAGTTCCACTCAAGCAGCTTCTTCCCATGATTCACTACCCTGTGGAATTGACTCCCCAGGATGTTTCCTTGATCACTACAATCTTAACTTATTCAAGGCTAGGGTTAATCGTTATCTCCCTCACCTATACACACAAATGGTTTCCTAGCATAACCCTCTACCTTGAGTGGCCCTTGGACCTAGTAAAGTGTGACTATCACTGTAACATAAAAACAAAGCACTCAGATTTCCTGTGTCTCACCAGACATTTCACTTATCTTTAAGGATCACTTCAAAAGGAAATAAAGAATCTTATTTTCTATCATTTCCAAGGAAGCCATTTCATAATGTAAATTTCAAAAAGGTTTGAGTGACCCCACCTCATATAATGAAACTTGTAAATTACTATAATTTTCCATATCTATGGTGAATATGTGTGAAACATATTTCAGGATAACTCTTTAATTGAAACCTGCTCTCTTTAATATATTTATTGAAAATAAAACTTTGTTACCAAATTGGCTTACAGCCATATCACAGTTGAAACATGGATTCCCATATGATAACCAAAGTTAAGCAACATTGAGTCTGGTCAGTACTTATATGGGTGACCATTTGGGATTACTACATGCTGTAAACTTGGATGTACAGGTAGTGTAATAGATAATGAGCTGAGTTCCATTTTCCATTAGGTTTGTTATATCACTTATGCATAAATACATCTCTTCACCCCCCAAACTCCATTATTATCTCCCTCAAAAAAGAAAAAATTCTTACAATCCAAAAATATTTCTTGGCTTTAAATAACTTGTAAAAGGTTGATAATCCATAGAAAATAAATCAATCATTATCAAGTTATTAGGTTTGCATCCTGGAAATATTCAAAGTTTATGTGCCAACATTTCCAGGATTCTGTTTTCATCAAGACTGGTTGCAAATTTATACATGTTAGATTTCATGTTTCAGTATTGTTTCTACATTGTTACAAAATGGTACAGTTCCATTAGATATTTATATTTGTAGATAATTTGTCTTCTTTCTTTCAGTTATTTTTCCTGTTAGCATGGTAAACATCCCATCTTGTCCATTAATCATAATAGTTTTTAATAGTAGTGTTGTAAGCAGATAAAATTGAAGCTGATTAAACTGGAAGTTCCTTTTTAGTTTGGACATAAATTTAATTTAAAAATAGATTGAGAAAAACAAGCCTAATGGTAGATTGAATCATAATATATATATGCAACATTTTTAAAAATTATTTGATAAATTGTTTGTAACAATGAATGGCGTTTTAAAACAATTTTGTTCATCCCTTTTATACTTTTCACAATATTTCAGCTGGTTCAGTTTTCTTTGGGTGGAAATTTGCACTGATTGAACAAGCCAAAATCTTGTAAAAAAGGAAAACAACAGAAGAATTCAAATTAAATTTAGAGTCTTATTTCATTATAGATAGAATTTATAACATTTCTCTCAATTATTTCTTAAATGAAAATACTGAAGTCTATACATTTCCTATACATTAGCTCAATTGTTTTTAATAATAAAAATTCACCTAATACAAGGCTCAAGAACCTTTTAACATAAATTCTATTAAAATTCAATTAAAAGGATAATTAATTAAAATTAATTTAATTAAAATGATAATTAATTAAAATTAATTCAATTAAAATGATAACAAATGAAATGTGTGATATAAATAAGAGTAGGTAGCAGAAAGTGAAGATTCTAAGGAAAGGAGGACAGATAATGATTGACGATTGATTTGAAGAGGTGAAGATTGACATATTCAGGGAAGCAGCCACATGGGAGCCTTTTCCTCAAAGGGGCAGATCTTGGGAAAAAGAACTTTCTTCTTAGCACTGGAGGAGATGAGGATCAAATTGCCTTTTCCTGATCATTGGGCTAGGAGTAGTACGTAATATCCATTCTTCACCTCTCTGCCATGTTCTGTTCATGGAAAAGCCTTGAGGGATGTCTGGTTCTGGGGATTCCAACTTTGTGGCATCACCTCCCTCATTGCACCAGAGAGGGAGGGTTGGTGGAATACCAACATCAGCATAACAGTAGTTTTATGGACTGGGCAATTTTTATCTTGGGCCTTTATGTATACACATAGGCACCCCACATTAAAAACAACCTTATGTCGCATCCTACCACTGTGAGAAGATGAGTAAATAAAAGATCAAAGTGTTTTTTCCCCAGACCATTTCTTAAGAATCAAAGTGTAGTATCTGCTCCTTCTTTCACATGGTGGGGATATTTAATCCTGAAGACCCTAACCCTCCAATAACAGAATCTCTCTTATTACACAAAATTGTGTGGGAGGTTTAGTGAATACTATTTCCAGCATGACAGTGGTTGTGGGGACAAGACAGCTTTTATCCTCAGCCCATGTATATATTATGCTGGACAGGTCCAAAAATGCTCATGTATGGTCAACTTGACAATGGTCATCAAAACGTGGGTCGGCCTTTGCTTAGGTACAGGGACAAGCTGAAGAGTAACCTCTAAGCTGCGAATATAAATCACACTACCTTTGAGAACATCGTAATTGATCGTAATGAATGGAAGATTACATGCTACAATGGCATCAAGAACAAGGCAGCATCAAACATTGTCAAGTTTCGTCAAACTAGAGAAAGGAATAAAATATCTGCTGCTGTTCCCACCATATACTCTAAGAATCCAAACTCTTGCACAATCTGTGGACTTCTTTGCAAATCACTAGCGGGACTGAAGTGTCACTTGCGACTCACACACAAGGTTAAATAAACAAAGTTGTCGGAACCTCATATGTTGAAACTGACAGGAGAGTCCATCATATATATATATATATATATATATATATATATATATATATATTTCTATCCCACATGAAAAACAACCTTGTGACACATTCTGCCACCATGTGGAGGTGAGTAAATGCAAGAAATGTGGGTGTTTCAATTCAGCAGAAATAGCATTGTTTGTTCTAGCTGTAAAGGTCTCTTCATTTTACTATTGAAATATCTATGAGATTTCCCCTTTGATACCTTTAACTCATGAATTTAAGCATACTACTAGATTAGCAACTAGGTCTGATCATTTTATTGTTGAAATTTGATCGATTTAACCATAAGTTCTATTCTAATAGTTTCTTTCACTTCTCAGCGATAGAACTATCTTCTGGCTTCTTGCTTTCCTATCAAATATGATCTTCAAAAATTTAAATGCAATACCAATCGCCATCTGTCTTTTTGAATCTTGTTCTTTTATTGTACTTTCTCCTCTATGATATTTTCTTAATTTCTTTCTCTCTCAGTAACTTCTTGTGTTATATAAACGTTCACTAGTAATTATCAGCTTCTCTGGAGAATTTGAAATAGACATCTCCTTAATTTCTGAAGAAGAACAAAGATTGATTTAGGAAAAATAAAATTAAAAACAAGAAGATTTAACTGGTGCCTCAATAGGGTGGATGTTGTAACCTAAGGAAGGTTACTGAATAGAATAATCACACGAATGTTGGTAATGAATGATAATACTTAGGACAAGAACAACACATATAAGATTTGCCAGTGGTGTGTAGAAGTAGTAGTCAACTGCTAGAAGTGAGTCAAGTGAATTCCACAATGAATCTCCAACTGCAGACCAACATACAGTATTTACTATTTTATTTATGTGAATGGGGACATACACATTATTGTCCGTAGGTAAGCTACAACAGTGGGTCAGTTTTGGAAAGTTGGAGTTTGACACAATAAATACCAACAAAAATTATTTTTTTCCAAATCATTACCATTTTTTGAAGAGATAAGTTTAAAGATTAAGTTTAGGTTCAAATCTGTAGCATTGGAATTTCATTCCGGTGATCAGTGAAAGACTTATAGCACAGTCTCATAAAATTTATAATTTACTCAAGGTTTACAGATTGTACATGGACATGACACATGGCACAAGTATATTATTACTAACTCATAGGGACATCAAATAAGACCTTCATTTACTTTAAAGAGAATTATACTGAACAATTTAGCTATATTATGATGTAATGTTATACAATGCAGTTGTTTTAGTAGGGTTTTCAATAAACAATACAAATTTAAAACAGTTTGTGTGCCTAGCAGCATTAGAGAGTTATATAAACTTTTATCTATTTTTTGTTTTTATTAATTATGATCTAACATCTAACAATGAGTAGCCTTTTTTGTAATCTTTTACAATGTTTTTGACACTGTTTTTACTTATCACATACAGTAAAAAAATGTGTACTTTGTTTGTAGTGATTCCTAATTAGAATTCTGGTTTGAATATATTTTCCATTCAATGTATCTAATACAAAAATATCAACTTTATTTGGATTTGTTTTGAAATAATAAAATTTTGAAGACAGTTTCTATGCAAAAATTAGGTATTTTTGTATATTTCTCCAGATAATCTTTCCAAATGAAAGCTCAAAAATTATTAAAAGCTATGAATATAATTTTTAGTGTTATTACACTATTATTATTACACTAAACCTCATTTTTTACACTGAGTGCAATGATGATTTTCTAAAGAAAAGTAAAAAACATCAAACTGCTCTCAATATTCCTATAATTTTATTAACATTTCCAACCTTTGTTGCAAGAACTTCTTCCAGTCTTGTTATTTTTCTTTTCCCCCAATATTCTTACACTTTGTTTGAGACAAAAGGATGAAAAAAATGGTCTGAACAGGTGGAACTAAAGAATTGTTGATTTTTGGTAGGAGTGCATGATGGAGTTTGTTTCTACTTTAAATCTAACATTGCCTTTTTGCGTATACCATTCATCTCTGCCTTGAATATTGCTGCCACATAGATGCTCCTGCTATATATTTAGAGATTCTTGAGAAAATCCAAAGAAGAATCTGTAATGTTATTGGTCCTGACATGACTTCTTGGCTTCAGTCACTTTCCAACCACATTAATGTAGCATCCCAGTGCCCTTTCTATAAATATTTTCATGGTAATTGTTCTGATCAATGGTACCTAGACTTTATGAATTTAAGTACAGTACTAAACTGGCAACAAAGTCTAATAAATTTACAGCTGAATTGGATAGGAAGTTTTATGTTAACAGTTTCTTCTCTCGTACTCATTGCTTGTGGAACTCTCTTCCACCTTCATGCTTTCCAGCCAACTGGTCTTCAAAAAATGTAATGTCAATCATTATTTACTGTCTTCTTGATTGCTCTTTTATTGTTCTTACTCTTTAATAATGTTTTTCCTTTTTTTCTTATTCTTTCACACATAGTAACCTCTTGTGTCTTAGTGGCTTTACTGTCTTGCTTAATTAAATAAAAAAAAACAAAAAACAAATAAACTTTGATTAGAAGTAAAAATTGATAAAAATATTTAATTATGATTTCAGTTCATTTTTATTTGCCTTTTTTTCCAGGTTTCAAACTTGTAAGATTTTGCCACTTATCTAATTGATGGTTTTATTATCTGGAAGCTTTTAGTGTGACTTCATTATGGTGACATTCCGCCAGCATTTTACCTGACATGAAATCTATTTGTACACATTTTAGTCTTGCAAACTTTAGACAACCTTGTATATAATTAAGTTATTGGAAGACGAAAAAAAAATGATTGAATTATTTTTATTATCTTCTTGTTGGATTTTTGATTGA